TACGAACTTAGCGTGCTTTCTTCTGAAGATCGGCTCCGCGCCCAATTTTCGCCCATCTTTCCACTACTTCAACTGGCAGACTGCGGCAGCCGGGACTTTGGTGTGCGGTGCCAGCATGTTCTTTGTGGACGGAGTCTATGCCACCGGCTGTGTTGGCATTCTCATTATGCTGTTCTTGCTAATTCATTACTCCTCGCCTCCGAAGTCATGGGGTGATGTTAGCCAAAGCTTGATCTACCACCAAGTGCGAAAGTATTTGCTTCGCCTTCGCCAGGAACATGTCAAATTCTGGCGACCTCAGATTCTGCTTTTCGTGACCAATCTCGATGAACAGTACAAGATGGTCTCGTTCTGCAACTCACTGAAGAAAGGAGCCTTATTTGTGCTGGGCCACGTGCTTGTGACGGATGACTTCCCTAGCGCAGTGCCAGAAGCTCGTCGCCAGCAAAATGCATGGACAAAGCTTGTTGAGTACTCTCGAGTCAAGGCCTTTGTCAACATTTCCGTGGCTCCGAGTGTGGAGTGGGGCGTCAGAAATGTCGTCCTGAATTCTGGACTTGGAGGGATGAGGCCCAACATCGTGGTTATCGATCAGTTTCGGAAAGGTCAATCGCTTGCTGAAGTCTTACAGCTTCCTGCTCACAGAAAAGACTCTACGAACAGCAAACACAACTCTCATGAGGCACAAGGTGAATCATCTGAGAATGAGGCGCAAGACCTTTCTATGAGCTGCAAGAGCTATGTGACTATACTTGAGGATCTACTCTTCAAGCTCCGGATTAATGTTGCCGTGGCCAAAGGATTCGAAGATCTCGAGCTCCCAAGCCCAGATGGACAGCATAAGAAAAAGTATATCGATCTGTGGCCTATTCAGATGTCGGCCGAGCTTGGCGCAGATAATGAAAGCAAACAAAATGTCCTCACGACTAACTTTGATACATATACCCTCATCCTTCAGCTAGGATGCATCTTAAACACAGTCCCCTCGTGGAAGAAGACGTATAAGCTTCGAGTGGCGGTATTTGTGGAATACGAGACCGATGTTGAAGACGAGCGTCGAAGGGTTGAAGCCCTCCTTGAGAAACTTCGAATCGAGGCGGAAGTCCTGGTTTTCTGGCTGGCATGTGGCGACTTGAAGGCGTATCGCATCATTGTCAACGGTGACATGAGCCCGGATACCAAGGAAGCCCAGGATCGTGTTCACGCTGTGTTGGAGCATGAAGACTGGTGGCAGGAGCTACGGCGGTTCCGCAATAGCTCGAAAGATTCCCCAGAAGTATCGGGCCAATTAAGCCTCGCGAGTCTACCGGAAAGAATGTCCAGCTGGAGTGGGGCATCGGGCCACGAAATGACGAGGTCGCAGAGTCAAATGGCCGGCGGACTGAGAAAATATATCCAGTCCCGGCGGCGGCGATCTATATCAAGTTTCAAAGGGCTTGGAGGGGTCAGTCTAGGCATGAAGACGCATCGCCTACTTGATTCACTCGTTCATTACGACAGCAGTGCAAGTGAGAGTAGCAGTGATAGCGAATTTGAGCCGTACGCTAGTGACGACGACGACGGGGAAGAGGGGTCCCGGGAGACTGATGATCATAATTCACAAAATTATGACGCCGTGGCTTCGCCTAAGACGGATCAAACGACACCTCAGGAGATTACAGCCACAGCCAAGCAGGATATTCCATCCATCATCACTACGGGCGAAGAGGCATCTCCCAAGAGCAAAGTTGGGCTTACCCGGCCACCCATCAGCCGCTCACCATCTAGCATCCGATTCTCTTCCTCGCCCATACCTGAAGCAAGAGTTAGCACAGAGGAAAACGCGGGCCCGTCCATCATGTTTGCGCCAAGCTCATCGCCTCCGCGCTTCTCGAACCGGTTGGAATCAATTTATACCCGACGTTCCTCCTCCGCGGCCAGAAGTGCTTCCGGATATCCCAACCAGGCGTCTGTTCCTCTGTCATTCGACGATCTTCCCAGTCGTGCACAGCACCTGATCCTTAACGAACTGATGGCCAGGCAAAGCAGTCAAACGGCCGTCATCTTCACGACATTGCCTTCCCCCTCCGAGGGTACCGCGGAAAGTGAAGAGACAAGCGAGTCTTACCTGAGTGACTTGGAGGTACTGTGGCAAGGACTGCCACCCTGCCTGTTGGTCCATAGCAATAGTATGACCGTGACGATGAACCTATGATGATCGATTTGATTTCCACCTAGTAATGATGCTTTGAAGCGCTGCACATATACTTGGCAACATGATTCATTCAAAACAGCTAGGACAATAACATAAATTTACTTGACTATCATATAGTAAGATGACTGCTTTTTCGCTAGGATCTCACTGAAAGAGTTTAAGAAGGAATGAAGGCCAGTGTCAGCACCGCTGAAGGATGAGGCGTGTTTGGTGTCGTAATCTTAAATGTAATCACATTACACATGCATGTCAGCACCACATCAAGAACAAACTGTATCTCTTTGACAGAAGCTGACAGAATCGAGATTCTGATGACAATAAGAAGAAATGGAAGAAATCCAGTTACTAATATTCTCGAAATTCATCAAAATAGATTTCCACTGAGAGAACTAGGTAGTTTGGGGGTAACAAATGACAATTTGCCTGCGTGTTATTGGGCCACAGCAGAGAGTCTAGGACGTCTCCGAGTGTTATTACCGTACCTCGTGCTGTACCCCTCGGTACATAGATAAAATAAAGTACGCTGGATGTTTCTATTGCTCATCGCCAATTGAACTACTCTCATGTTTCTTACCCTCCCTCCGTCCTCATTCAAATCCATTGCACTAATTCTTTACTAATAATAATATTTTGTTACGTTGTGCGCGCGAATAACATTCCAGTCGCTTATCCCCTCTAATCCTCTTTCGTCATAATCCTTCCTCTCGGAAACCCCCTTTCTGGTCGCATTGCTGATAGCTCGAATGGGCAACTCCCGTGGACGCCGAACGAACGGCAGCATCAAGACAAGCAAGGGTACCCAACGTGGTACAGTGTCCCATCTGTTGTCAGATCAGCCCCTCGCGGCACGGCCCAAGGTCTCGATAGTCAGCAACGACGACAGCCAGGACAGTTCTGACGGCGGCGCATCCACGACTCCTTCCACGGCCGAATCCACAGTAAAGACCGCTATTGACGGCACAGACGGCACGAAAAGAAATATGTCGAGGAAGCCCTCATCGCCAATGGCTCCGGCCTTTATGGTGTCGGCGCCAGGCAAGGTTATCGTCTATGGCGAGCATGCTGTTGTCCACGGCAAGGCAGCCATGGCTGCGGCCATTTCCCTTCGGTCCTACCTTCTCGTCACAACGCTGTCCAAATCGCACAGGACAATTACAATGAATTTTCGGGATATCGGTCTGGACCATACGTGGAACATTGACGAGCTGCCGTGGGACGTGTTCCACCAGCCGTCCAAAAAGAAGTTCTACTACGACCTGGTCACCTCTCTTGACCCGGAACTTGTCGCCGCAATCCAGCCCCACGTCGAGGCGGTGTCTCCAGGAAAACCAGAGGATGTGCGCAAGATCCATCGCCGATCCGCGTCCGCGTTCCTTTACCTGTTCCTTTCCCTCGGGTCGCCGCAGAACCCTGGAGCGATCTACACCCTCCGATCCACCATCCCTATCGGCGCAGGTCTCGGCAGCAGCGCGAGCGTCTGCGTCTGTCTGAGCGCTGCGCTACTCCTCCAGATCCGCACTCTCGCCGGTCCCCATCCTGACCAACCTCCTGACGAGGCGGAAGTGCAAATCGAGCGCATCAATCGCTGGGCGTTTGTCGGGGAGATGTGCACGCACGGGAACCCCAGTGGTGTGGACAACACGGTCTCCGCAGGCGGCAAGGCCGTGATATTCCGACGGGAGGACTACTCCAAGCCACCGACTGTCACTCCGCTCCTTGACTTCCCCGAACTACCTCTCCTTCTCGTCGACACGCGACAACCCCGCTCAACCGCCGTCGAAGTGGCCAAGGTGGGCAAGCTGAAGGATGAGCACCCAGTCGTGACCGACTCCATTCTGGAGGCAATCGACCAGGTGACCCTAGCGGCGCAACAGACGATCCAGGAAATCAACACCAAGGGTATCACAGACCGGACGCTGGAGGACCTGGGTACCCTGATCCGTATCAACCACGGCTTCCTCGTATCGCTCGGTGTCTCGCATCCCCGCTTGGAGCGGATCCGCGAGCTTGTCGACTACGCCGACATTGGATGGACAAAGTTGACCGGTGCTGGAGGTGGCGGGTGCGCAATCACCCTTCTCCGTCCGGATATCAAAGAGGAGGCTGTCCGCGAGCTCGAAGAGAAACTTTCCGCCGAAGGATTCGTAAAGTACGAGACGACACTGGGAGGCGACGGCATCGGTGTTCTCTGGCCGGCTGTGCTTCGCAACGGCACCGACGAAGAAGGTGGCGAGGAGATTGACCAACAGAAGTTCGAGAACGCAGTCGGCCCAGAGGGCATCGAGCGTCTCGTGGGCGTCGGCGTCCAGGAGAAGCGGGAAGGATGGAAATTCTGGAAACGGTCGCCTCGTTTCTCATGATGCCCTCGGACACTCTACATCCCTTTTTCTTCCTTTCTAAAATTTGGGCACATTTTTCCCTAGTATGCGACAGGAATCTTTGCATGATATGCCTTCCATCAGCGCTTTTTCTTTTTTTTTTTTATTCCGCCAATGTCTTCTATCTTCGTTCTTGTATCATATTTCAGTACTCATTATGATGGTGCCTGCTCTTTTTTGCATGGCGCTTCTTCCTTTTTTTCATCTCTGCCTTCTTTCGCGTCACGTTATGTTTCAGTACTTCATTCTTTAACCGTTGTGTATGCTTGTTTGAGATCGTCACGGGAGCGTTAATGTCGAGGATCGAGCGCTGAACGAACTTATATATATATACAACCAAAGGCCAGGGAATCGCATGAGATAGCCATGAATTGCCCTAATTTATAGTTATACAAGCACATTCAATGGTGCAATAAGTCCCAATGCTGTCAGCCCATCGTCGTCTCCCAGCCCTTCTCAATCATGACATCCATCCAGTATACGTTATTGTCCCCCGCATCCATTCGTCTCCATACCTCTTGCACAAGTTGAAGGCAGACGCTGATCGGCTTCGGAGGCAGGACATGCATGAAGGAGGTCAACCGTCCGAGAACGAAGCGGCGAGTCCTAGAAACCTCGATGGCATGCGACGAGAGATGGGGCCCATCTACGTCTAGAGGGATCTCCGACGGCGTTACACGAGGCAGGCGAAGTTCGCTACTTGATGCGACGAGCAGAAATGGTTGGAGACATCTGGTGCGGGATTCGAGGGGAATGGTCTTAAGGCGGGACAGAGTGGTGAGTGCGAATTCGGTCAACCAGCTGCTGTAATAAGAATCTGAGTGGGTTATGCTCGAGGCTGCTTGCTCGGACGACACGTTGCTTTCGGGTTGTGGGAAGGGAGAGTCGGAAAACCAGGCCATGCTCTCGAGATTTAGGTCGGGGTCCAGGGAAAAGAAAGGATCGCGTGGAGCAGTATCGGATGGTTGTTGGTTTGTCTGTGACGACAATGTCTGATTGGAAGGAAGTCGACGGCGAAGCAGATCGGGGAAAACTCTATACAGCTGCAGGAGGCCAGTACAGCGGTACACCTCAGCCATGGTGAGAAGATGCCAAACTGGTGTCTCGTCGTCGCCAGGGCTGACGATTTCACCCTCTGTGGGATGAGCGAGGCCAAGCAGCCTTTCTTCCAGCTCGCGAGCCCTGGTAATCGCCATCTGCGCTCGGTCGATGTCCGCCTGAGAGGTGAAGTTCGTAGCGCGAACTCTCTTCCTCTCTGAACGAATTAATCTTCCTACTTCTTGCACGGTGAATTGGGTGTCGCGGGCGATCCCTGTCCAAGGATGGGGCACCCGCTGCAGCACGACCGATTCACCTATTTCCGACGCAGATTTCCCAGACAACACGGCCGAGTCGTCCGCGACAAACGACAGAAGCATCTCCCAGTAGATGAGAGCCTCCTCGAAGAATTGGTGATTATTACCGCGATTATGACTGGGAGTTTCGGCGGCCTTGACATCCAGATGCTTCCGAAGTAGGTTGAAAAAGGAGACGCCCAAATCTTTGGAATCGTGCCAACTGGCGGTCTGGCCCAGCATAAGTAGAGCCAGGAGGGACTTGTCGTCCATGGTAGTCTCCTTGGAAATTATCTCCACCGCTTCGTTGCGCATGCGTTGTCCCAAGGGGCCGAATTCTGGAAAATCGTTCACCAGGGTGGCTGCTGCCATGCTTTGCATAGTCTTGCACATGGCCAGAGAGGAGCCCCAGAGACGTGATACAGTCGACCGGAATGGGTTCATCTGACTATCATAGCTAGAGAACAGAGCGGCTACCTCTTTGAAGTAATATTCAATCAAAGTCCAGGAGGGGTTGTTCAACGTTTGAGGAATCGAGGTAAAATCGTGCAAAGGCGGCTTTAGATGGGACGAGGAATACGTGCGGATGATCGTCGAAGGCGAGAAATCGGAGAAATGATGAGTATTATGCTGAAGCACTGGTCCTGCTAATGAAAAGAAGCTTGTGAGATTCGTCGGCGTTCCGAAGTCGAGTGAGCTCTCCCGTTGTGGCACTGATATTGGAGGCGATGCTGACGCTGGCGATGGAGGGCAAAGATCTGTCAACTCAGGTAAAGAGCCTGTGCTCTGGAGATCCCATAGATTATCACACAAGACACTGTTGCCATTCGCTTCCAATACTCTTGTTTCGCATGGTTCATGTGGACCGTTCGAATTCAAGTTGCTACTATCTAAGGCCAACGGAACCTGTGGCAATAGCAATGCATCGATGAAGACCGGTGATTTGGGTGAAGTTGACGGCCGCCGATCTGAGGACTGAAGTGATCTGGATATGGATGCTTCAGAAATGCTTGTTTGATCATTGTCGGGCTCTTGAAACTTTGTCACCCAGCGCAAAGATTGAACATATCCGGGGCACTTCACCCCCAAGCGGGTGCATCGGCTACAGTGTGGTTTTTCTTCTCCACATTTGACCTATCACCATGTTCAGTGATCCCAATAAATCATTGCATTCACGGAGTCGAGGTTCTATGTGGCGTGGATAGATTGAAGATATACTCACCCTTTTGCTCTTACACCTAGCACAACCGTTGCGGGACTTCTTGACTCGTCGCATAACGATTCAACCTCATCGGCTGAGAGAACGATAACGCGGATATGATTTCCTCAAGGGATGTTGGGAGAAACTTGGAGACTCCCCATTACTGCTCCAAATAGAAGCAGTCATCTGGACAAGATCATAGATATGCCACTGGCCGAGAGCGTGCGGGGAAACCCTGAGCTTATCAGCAGGCGGCGTCCAATTAGAGACCGGTTGGGACGTTTGCCTGTCTGGGGCAAGTTGAAGGCTATCAGGGAAGTATATGAATCATGGAGTTTCTCAGGACTATTTATGTCGATTCATTGATCCCCTGCTCTCTGGAGGTGGCACAGAGTCCCGATGATAGGAATCTGGCTTGATGTTGAGATCCTTCGAACCGGTCAAAAGGAAACTGGTCAGCATTGCTACTGCAACTAACAATGGCATTCCTATCAAGGGACGCTTGAAGACAGCTGCAAAAGCAGATAAGGAATCCAAAGCATGGAGCACGACTCCGCTCAGCGCCCCATGGGCTGATCTCTTTCATCTCAGATACCAGAAACGCACATGATGACCAAGTAGGATGAATGTTCGTTGTTCTTACCTAGTCCTCGAGGGCTCCATGGCAACTCGCTTGACATGACCTACTTCTGTATATTCAAATCAATGGTCGGAACAAAGAAGAATGATCAGACGATTCGTAGCTGTGGACGAGGAAGCAAAGAGGAAGAAAGGATGTTTTGGTATTGTTGTCTTGATATTGTTCGGAATTGCCGCCTGAGGCTGCCACAACCCCACTCGATTATCTTATCGTGTTTTTGATGAATTTCCTCCTTACTACTCCGCACCGCCCTCTTCGCTGTGATCATTTCTACTTATTGTTACATCTGCCTTTTAAATACAATTATAGACCCTGGCGATCTGGAATCAATTGGTTGCTCACTAAAACTCTGACGAGGGAGAACCTACATTTTCTGTAGAAACGGACTGTGGACACTGTGAGCATAGTACCATCTCTCTTCTCCAAGCAAGATCAACACGGCCCTTTACTGGATACCTCACTTTGATTGACGATTTCGCATGCTTCTGCATTAAAGCAAAACTCTAACATTGACAAGGTGTTCTGGAACTCTTCCCGGAGAATTCTTGTGTGCTCCTGTTCTTTGACTTGCTCAAATTAACACCAATCATTATCCCGTTCCAGCATGGAGGGAAAATACTCGTCGGATCCAGAGTGGGCATCTATCAAGCCTATCGAGCTCAATGATGGCAGCGAGTCCGGCGCCATGCCGTTGGCCACCATTTCGTATTCGCCAGAATATCTCGAGGCTACTTCTTACCTGCGAGCTGTAATGGCCGCCAACGAGATGTCGGAGCGAGCGCTGAGACTGACAGAAGACATCATCTCCATGAACCCAGCGCATTATACAGTTTGGTGCGATCAGACTACAGTCCACGCCGCCTTAAAAAGGGATTCAAATGGCTAATCTCTTTTGTGTAGGATATACCGGGCTAAGATTCTTTTCGCCCTAGGAAAAGATCTCAATGAGGAGATAGAATGGCTCAATAAAGTCGCTCTGAAGCATCTCAAGAACTACCAGATATGGTAAGTATTTAGTTCTATTATACCTCGCATCCCGATCCGTCTGACGCACTTCGACAGGCACCACCGCCAAGTTCTCATGTCTTCGCGGGCTCATTTTCCAAGTCTTCCGCCCAGAGAGCTGGACTTTCTGATGGAGATGTTTGCCCAGGACGCCAAGAACTATCACGTCTGGACATACCGCCACTGGCTTGTCCGACATTTCAAGCTCTGGGATTATCCGCGCGAGATCCAGGATGTGGAGACGCTCCTGAAATCTGACGTCCGGAACAACTCCGCCTGGAACTATCGGTACATGCTCCGCTTTGGACCGCGTGATGACAACGAGTACGATGCCGGTCTACACAATACAACGGGATCATCGTCGGAAAAAGGCTGCTTGCCAGTTGTTGACGAGGACCTAGTCGACGCCGAACTGCAGTACTCGCAGACTAGGATCCTTGAAGCTCCTGAGAACCGCAGTCCATGGTCGTACGCGCGCGGAGTACTCCAGGCAGCCGGCAGACCCCTTTCAGAGTGGAAGGATTTTGCCCGGAGATTCGTGGTCGAAAAGCAAGAGAACGGTCAGGTGGTGGATGTTGCGGTCAAAAGTAGCCACGCTATTGAGTGGTTAGCCGACGTGTACGCGGAGGAAGCCGAAAGCGCCTCATCCAAGGAAGAAGGTGCAGCCGGGGCGGTCAAGATGCTCACTCTTCTCAAGGAGAAGTACGACCCTATCAGGAGGAACTACTGGGAGTATCGAATCCGGCAGATTATGGCATCAGCGACACAGGCTACGGAGATACCTGCCTCTGCTTGATTGAGACGTCTATTGCAACAGTTCAAATATGATGCTTTGTATTACTTCTACCTGTCTGAGTTAAAGTTCTTGGGTTTCTTTGGTTTTCCGTGTACATAATTTGCGATTCTAGAGCGGATTCTGGTGTTATGTTTACGGAGGAACGCTCAGCGTCTAGGGCAGAAAGTGATTCTTATACGTAAAGCAAGGGCGCAGGTGGTGTGTCTAGGAGACAATCGAAGTACACAAGAAGCAGTTAGTCTATTGCATAATTCTCAGAGAAATAAATCTACCTGAAACAGAACGATGTATAGCATTTAAAAGCCTAAGCCATCTACAGATCTAGTGTGGCGAACCTGGCCTAGACCTGCCTTGTTTGAGGATGGCTGTGCCATCAATCTGTGTTTCGCCAGTTTCCAAAGTGTGATATACGGGAGAGGAGAGAGCAACCAGAGCGAAGAGTATAGTTCGTCCAGTGTGGAGCTGACGGCCCTCGAAATGAATATTTAGAACAACTGAAGAGATATGAAGGACAGATACATAGGAAGATATCCCACTCTCGATCGCCCGACAGCCGCGACGGTAAGGAATGGGTGTGCATTCTCATGTTGGACGGAATGTACTCCAAAAATCCATAGTAAGGCATTGATTTAACCTATCCTAGTCTATGCATTAAAGACAGAGGGCGTGGAAACGAGGCAGTAAATGGCTTCAGTGGCCATCATTGGTAGCGTCAATTTCACAAAACCTCCATTCTAGCTTGTAAAATGATCCCAAGAACTCCAAGAAATTCAAATCCCATAGCCATAGCACGAACGCATTCGTTAAACCAAGAAATCGTATCCGTTATTAAGGGAATGTTGTATTTTTTGTTGCGGGAAAGCCTGGTTTACGCTCCCCAACCCTCCTGCAACATCTTCCTCCACTCTGCCGCCATGTCGATGGTGACATTGCTGCCTCCGCAGACGATGATCACCACTCGACTGTCCGGCTGCAGGTTCGGGACCAGCTGCTTCAGCTTGGATTGGAACTCGTGCGACGGCGACGGCGTATTTTCAGTAGGATGTGCTTGAGGCTGGCTGCCCGTCTCTTCTGACTCCGTTTCGGTTTCTCCGGACGACAGTCGGTCATCACCGTATCCTTCATCTCGTTGGGGGAATTCAGCCTCTGTCCTCTTCCGCTTCTTCCCAGCCAGAGCTGCCTGCTCGGCTGCCAAATGTGTGCTTGCTGATCCCGAGGCGCGTGCCTTGGTCGCATCACCGATGGCTGCCTCGACGCAGACACCGCATGCCAACTCCACCAGCAGTCTTTCATCATCCGCGAGACGGAGCACGCCCCGAGCGGCATCGGCATCTGAGAGGACAGCACTGTGCACAGCAATTCCGGGTGGGGGAGAGATGGCATATTTGAATGTACGTTCCGAGACGCGGATGGCGCCCAGCGAGGTAGCTTGGGAGGTGATTTTGGGGAGGGAGACGAGGGATTTCTGGGCGACAGCGAGCGCGAGGGAGTCTGTGCCGTCGGTTTCGATGGCGAGTATGTGGATAGGGTCTGGTTGAGCGGATGTGATGCCGTTGCTGTAGTGTGAGCTCTGTTTTTGTAAATGTCTCCGTCGCTCTAGGCCCATGACAAGACCATTAAGCAGTCCGCCGCCGCCAACACTGCAGATCACAGCGTCCAGTGGCAAAGCGCGACCATTGTAGGCGATAGCTTCTTCTCTGGTTGTTACCGGCGGCAGCTGAGCAGCGAGCTCATCGATGATCGTGCTGTTTCCCTCCCAGATGGGCTCATTGTCGAAGGGATGGAGGGCAATCTTGACCACATCTTTCTCGGCGTCTCCGTCATCTCCTTTCATAATCACTTCACGCATGTATTCTCCGGCTTCAGAGAATGTCTCGCCGTACTGGATGACGTCCGAGGCGCCCGCCGCACGCAGTTTGTTCACCATCAGGGGCTTTGTCGAGACAGGCACAACCACGGTGCAAGGATAACCCAAGCTCCGGGAAGCACAGACGGCAGCCAGCCCGGCGTTGCCCCCCGAGGATGCAAAGAAATGCACCGGCCGGCCAGCGTTTTCCGGCTTGATGAGGTGTGAGAGGATCTGGTTGCCCATTGCACGGGACTTGAAAGATCCGCTGGGTTGAATGTTCTCGAGCTTCAAGAAGATTCTACAGCCTGCCGCACGAGACAGACAGGCGGATTCCACAAGGGGAGTCTCAACCCATGGCGTCT